TGCCTGCTGGTCGGGCTTGGGTGCGGCTGGCTAGGGTGGCCAAGCCAGGCCTGCCCTCGCCAGGGTGGCATTCGGCTCAGGGATGTAGCTGGGTCATTGTTGGGTGCGTCCCTGCAGCTGGAGGAGGGCTGTGCGACCTCTGTGCTCTGAGGACACCTGCACAGGGAGAGCAGGAGCACGGGCAGGGGAAGCAGGGGATGTCAGTGGGATGACATGGAGAGCACCAGGCATCTCCCTGCTGCACAGCCCAGGCGCTGCGTCTGCATCTGGTTCGGCTCAGGGATGTAGCTGGGTCATTGTTGGGTGCGTCCCTGCAGCTGGAGGAGGGCTGTGCGACCTCTGTGCTCTGAGGACACCTGCACAGGGAGAGCAGGAGCACGGGCAGGGGAAGCAGGGGATGTCAGTGGGATGACATGGAGAGCACCAGGCATCTCCCTGCTGCACAGCCCAGGCGCTGCGTCTGCATCTGGTGCCTTGGGATGCCCGGTGCTGGCCATGCGTGCCTGGCTCACCTGGTGCCGAGGGTCCCAACCCAAGGGAGAAATGGCTGTGTGTCCTTCGTTGTCCACTGCTGGGGCAAGGTGGGGTGTGCCAGCATCTGCCGGAGGGTTTTGAGGCAATGAAGAAGTCGATTCATCCTTGTGCGCTGCCAGGGAGACAAATGGCTGTGCTGGCCTCTCTTTGATGGTCTCCATCCTCGCATGCCAAAGGGACAAGAGGGTCTGTGCTGGCCTCGCTCTGAGGCTCTACAGCTAAGGGCGACTCGTCGTCCTGAGGTGCTGCAGGTGTTCTTGCTGCTGTCACCGCATCCATGCTTTGTGCCAGGTCCCCCTGTTCTGTTGGCTGCTGCCCGGGTCACTGGATTGCAGCCACCACCTTGCCCAGGACCTCACGATGCACCGGGCTGCATCCGGCAGAAGCACAGCGGAGGCTGTGTGGGGCAGGTGCCTGGCTCTCCACATGTGCTGCTATTAAAAGAATAAATTAAAAGATATAAGAAAAGCTCTGTACCCATCACTAGCTACAGAACACCATGGGTCCCTCTGTTCCAGTAAAAAACAAGCTTTGAAAGTTGGCGAAATGACAAATTTTGGGGACCAAAAGTTGGTACTGCAGGTGGTCAAGGTCTTCCTTCCAGCCCTGTGGTACGTTGCGATTCTGTTTCTTTCTCTGCCTCAGTCTCTCTCTGTCTGGCTCCCTCTCTTTGTGTTTTAATTCCACGTCCTCTGTCCCGTAGCCCCACGCTATTTGCTTGCCTTTCTCCGTCTCTCTCTGGCACCATCGCTCTGCCCCTGTTCGTGAATTCCTCGCTCTCTGCCCTGTAGCCTGTCGCTTGTGTCCTTTCTCCATCTCGCTGTCTCTGGCTCCCCGAGGACCCTGTTTTAGAATTGGCCCCCCTCTTCTTTCTGTACACATTGCTACCCTTTGTGCCCTCCCGCACTCTTTTTTCCAGCTCCCTGTCCCTATTTCTTTAGTCTTCCCTCTCCGCCCTG